GCTAGTAGTAACAGGTGCCTTACTAGTAGTAACAAGAAGCTACTAGGGGCTCCATCGCTAGTAATTACAATCTATTGTTTCTGATAGCAAACATTGTTACTACTAGTAAGGCACTTGTTCCTAGTAGCGAGGCACTTGTTACTCGTAGTTTTTTTGGCTGGCACCCTGCCCAGGGCAAAGATGGCACTGCAAGATGAGTTGGAACTACGTGCCCGGCAGATTGTGATGCGCTTGACCCACAAACCTCCCGCACCCCTTTGTGACAAGCTTGGCGGCGAACGATCTGTTCCTTATTTTTCGAGCATGCCGATTTCTCGTCAGGCCCGATCGCTACTAGGAGCAAGGACGCTACTAGGGGCTCCTGGCATCGCTACTAGGAACAAGAAGCTACTAGGAGCAAAGGGCATCGCTACTAGGAGCAAGGACGCTACTATTCTGTTCCTTTCCGAATGCCCATGGCTTGTCTTTGTGCTTGACCCTTCGAGGCTCCCGACAAGCAGGACGACTACGTGAAATGCATATTGTGACGTATTGTCCAGGATCAAGATGTGCCTAAGAACTCTCCATCAACCTAGCTTGGAGGCCATCGCTCTTGGGTTAGAGGCCATGGCTAGGTTGGAGGCCATCGGATCATCGCTAGGTTGATGGATGGAGTCTACGACTTGAATAAGTCGTCATACTTCTTTTCGAGAAAGAAGAGGTCGCCTAAGGTGTTCTCCAGTTTTCGTGCTAGCGTTTCCACGTGGCCAGTTGCAGCTGAAGTGGCTACTCCGCTGTCAACTAGGTCTGTGGAGAGGAGAGGGTTTCAGGAAGCCGAAAAGAAGCCTCGTTGCGGCCGGGAGAATGTGTCAAGATTGTTGAACTTTGTGCCGTCAACCTTGGTTAAACAAAAGAAAAGAACAAAGGTCTAAAGAGAAGAGGAAGAAAGAGAGGACCATCAAGAAACTCTGAGGTTGGAGGCCATCGCTAGTAGGTTGGAGGCCATCGCTCTTAGCGTTCTTAATCTCAAGAAACTCCCATCATTGTTGAATTCGGTGCACATCGCACTGCTCGTCCGTGGGCTTATTCTACTCTACTCAGCCGGCGGCTCTTGCAGGGCGGCCGACACTTGGCAGGGGTTGGAAAGCGCTGTGAAAAGGAACAGCTAACTTAAGCTTCTTAGTAACAAGAAAGCTTTCTAGTATGTCGTTGAACTAGTAACTAGAAGCTTCCTTGGGAATCGTTTCGGCCTCCTAAAAGGAGGCCAAGTCCACAAACACGGAAAGGTTGTTTGATCCAACTGAGGATTGTACGAATGAAGCACGTCTTGGTGGATTTAGCCTTAGAAGCGATGCACTTGCTCCTAGTAGCTTCTTGTTGCTACTAGTAAGGCACTTGTTACTCGTTACTACAAGCGATGCACTTGTTCCTAATAGCTTCTTGTTACTAGTAGCGATTCTTGAGTTGGTGTTTTGACCTGTTTGACTTGGATCACCTTCCTGGGGCTGCAGTTTCACGTCCCAACGATGTTTTTCGCTCGAAAAATAGGTGGTGGCACTTGGCACAGCAATTGCAGCAAAAGTTAGGCGCAGCGCAGCTGGTGAAATCAACGCTCTATGTTGGAGTGGTCGTGCAATGGCTTCCAACCTACTAGCGATGGCCTCCAACCTAGTAGCGATGATCCATTTTTCATTCCTAAGTTGGAGTCATTTCTTTGGCGTTGCATGTGGTGCACAAAATGACCGCACATCACACACCAAGCCTCATGAACACATGAATGGACCTCTGAACTCTAAGATGAGTAGTAACGTCCTTGCTTCTAGTAGCGATGCCCTTTGCTACTAGTAGCCTCCTCTTGTTCCTAGTAGCCCACTTTCAGTTGTGGCAAGTTGGTGAGACAATGGGTCTTCGGTCTCGTGCGCAGTTTCCTGGTTGCTTCTGGCCCTGTGAGGCTACAACCAGCCAGTGAAAGCCGGGCACCACAGAGCTGGGTAGGGCTGTGAGCGTCTTAGTTGGACACACTTCAGAGCGATGGCCTCCAACTTATATAATTCCAATCAGAACCTGTCTTTAAGGGGGGTAGGCCGCTAGGAGTTAGGTGAGGTAGGTTAGCTAGGTAGCTAGTAAAAGCTAGGTACCGAGTAGCTTAAGTAGCTACTAGTATGGACGCAGGATAGCTCACGCACTATTGATTCTAGATTTTTAGGGAAACTTAAACTAGCACTGGCCTCCAACCTAATAGGGATGGCCTCCTACCTAGTAGCGATGGCCTACACGCGAACACGCGACAATACCATGGATAAGACAGGGATTCCTACGACGAGGATGACTTGTGATCAGAAAAAATGTCGTTTCACATCAAACTCTGGGGGACACCTGGAAAAGACCTCGCTCAATGCCCGGAAGGTTGATGGCCTGCTTACCTCATGCGTTCCTTTCCTTGTTCTACGTATTGAGGTAGAAGTTCAGCCGACCTTTATGTTTTCAAGCCTTTTTGGCCGAGCCATGTCCTGTCAAGATGTGTATAGATTCAGCACTGGCGATTCGATTCCTCAGAAGTCCGTGGCTTGCTTTAGGTTTGCAGCGAGGGCTGATATGCGCGCAAGTCTAGCCAATCAGAGCCAATGCGTTTCCAAGCACCAAGCTCAAACTCATTAAGTTATTAAGCAGGTGCCCCTGAAGAAATTGTCATGCTGCATGCTCAGATTGTCAAGGATGCCGCAACATCATCAATAACGCCATAACTTTCCAACGTTTCTTGATCTTCGTGCCTCAAGGCTTTGTGGCAGCTTACCTAGGATCACTCAGAGAAACTAGAAAAATTCATGAACCTGATATGAAATGGACATCTCAGGAGATCTCGTGAACCGGTGTTGCTCTACCCACGCTATGAAACATCCCACTAGCTCTGCCCAGCAGAACAGGCCAAAGCCTCTCGATGCCAACACTGAGGCCTCCCGCCCTTTTATCACACCAGCGAGGCTCCCTGAACCTGTGACACTAGGGGCTCCTGGCCTTACTACCAGGAGCAAGGACGCTACTAGGAGTCGGCAAAGCGGAGAGAACGTAGTAACCTTCCTTTCTTTGCAACCTCCTTGTCGAGGGTTGGGCAGGCGGCATGACTCAGTTGTGAATTGAAATACAACAGGACCCCCTCACCTTTAACTTGGAGGCCATCGCTTTTAGGTTGGAGGCCATGGCTATTATTTTGAAGGCCATCGCTATTGGGTTGGAGGCCATCGCCTTTAGGTCGGAGGCCATGGCTATTAGGTTGGAGGCCATCGTTTAGTAGGTTGAAGGCCATCGCTTAGTAGGTTGGAGGCCGTGGCCATTTTTTTATTAGGCCATCACTTAGTAGGTTGGAGGCCATCGCTAGTAGGTTGGAGGTCATCGCTAGTAGGTTGAAGGCCATTGCCTCTAGGTTGGAGGCCATCGCTAGTAGGTTGGAGGTCATCGCTAGTAGGTTGAAGGCCATTGCCTCTAGGTTGGAGGCCATTG